GCTCCTCCCACATCACATTCTGTGGCATCTAACACTAGCTCATAAGTATGAGGTGTGACAATTTAATTTCCGGAATGCCTGTGGCACTATGGTGGCCAGTCACACAGTCTTTTGCACTCTAGCATGTTCTAATTTGCACTCGCCCGAGTCACAGACCAGTTAACCAGTTGAAGAAAAACGTGTGTGTTGCACAGTTGTCGGAAAATGAGTGACAGGAACCTGGAGCAGCAGACTAAGATCCAATTTTGCGTGAAAATAGGCAAAAGTGCAGATGAAACTTTAACTTTGGTACAACAGACTTATGGTGAACATTCTATGAAGAAATTAATATTATTATTATTATTATACAGGATTTATATATCGCCAACACTCAGCACTTTACAATATAACGGGAGACAATACAGCAACAATACAGTTTAATACAAAAGGGATAGGAGGGCCTGATCCTTTGAGCTTACAATCTAGGAGATCAAGTGTTTGAATAGTATATGAGGTTTAAGAAAGGGCAGGGAGATGTCCTCAATGACACAAGAAGTGGACAGCCAAAAACTCAAAGGACTGATGCAAATGTGGATACAGTGCAAACCCTTGTATGCTCAGATCAAATATTAAGTGTCCAACTGATGGCATCTGAGGAATCAGAAAAAACACTATATTCAAATTGTATCCAATCTTTTGAAGATTGCAAAGGTGTTTTATAGGGGAAAAGGGGCCTGCAGCATGTGTCAGGGAAAATAAGGATTTGACCCACCTGATCCATCAGCTGCTTTAAAGCATTTAATCAAACTGTTTATTATCTCACTGCCCCCCCCCCCCACACACACACACACACTCATTGTTTTTTTATTAAGAGCTATTAATCTTTGCTGTTCTTTTATTTACTCATTGATCTTGTCAGTATATGCCAATGACCAGAAAAGATATTTATTTTGACCCACCTTTAAGCTGAGACCTGAGATAAACAAATATTATCTAAACAAAAAAGGTATATGAATTCTTACTCAAATTTTAGTGTCATATTTGTATATCATGTGACGTCACCATGCTACGCGGTCGTCTGACTGGAACATCCATACTTTGGGATTGCTGCAACTTTGGTATTGCTTCCTTGATGGCTTTGCAATTTTTCAACTATTGTGAGCGTATCAATTTACTTTTAATAAAGTTTTACATTTTGGGCATATACACTATTAGTGCTTATTTGTTGCATGACTTACTGGTGGAAACACGGAGTTCAAGCGCTCAAGCGAATTCAAGAGGACAACTATCTCTGCACTATAAACCAGAGAGTCGTGCAGGGCTAACCCCTAAAGCATTTTTAGCTTTTTTAATATAAAAGCACAATAGCTCTGGTAAGAGCTCTTGCATGCCTGTTGCTTTTCACCAGGATTATAGAGGTGCCATCTTTCTCCTTTTTTTGATGCACTAAATGTGGTTTTTCTGTTCTTGATGATTGCTGGGTTTCACTTATTGAAAGCGTTTCCTTTCAGCATGGACTTTTTTCTGATGAATTTTAGCACTAATTACATGGACTTTTGTACGAATTGATGTTTTTTTACACTATACAGCGTTACACTTTTGTTACTGTTTATATTTGTATATTTCTTCCAGGTATGTGTAATAATCCGGTATTACACAACTCCTGCACTGTGCCTCTATGTAGGAGTTTCCTGTAATATAGAACAGTCACTGCTGCTTTTTTTCCTTATACATGATGACTGGTCTCGTATCCACTCCTATGTAATAGTGCTCTGAAGTCAGTCTTTAGTAGGAGAACTACTGAGCCCTTCCTATAGCTTTCCGCACTGTAACAACTGTGCAGTGTAGTGATAATGAGGTTGATTTACTAAAGGCAAATAGACTGTTCACTTTACTAGAGTAGTTGCACTTTTGAAAATAATTATCCCCAAAGCTTAGTGAATGCATCGAAGCTCTGATGACCACCATCATCCAATCACTTTTAAGGCAAAAAAATGTGGGTTTTTTTTTCTTTTCCTTTTACTTGACTGTCAAGAAGCATAGGCATAAAGACTCTATCGTGTAACCAATAAAACACGGAAACTGATGTTAAATTGAATGGGCAAGGCCACAGGTTTATTTATCAATAATAACTCCAACACTAACACAAGGTTTCAGCAAATCAATATGCCAGTCACAACGAAAGCTGTGAGTACCCATAGCCTAGACGCTTGTCCTAACCATCAGTTCAGGACAGGCACTGTCTTCACACCAACCAATGAGGTTATTAGCCAGATCATTTGTAGCTAGCAAGGTGACACTCCGACAGGTAGAGCTGATAAATGTGGGCAGCACAGTGGCTAAATGGTTAGCACTTCCGCCTGGCAGTACTTGAGTTGTTGGTTCGAATCCCAACCACGACACCACCTGCCTGGAGTTTGCATGGTCTCACTGTGCTTGCGTGGGTTTTCTTTGGGTTCTCTGGTTTCCTCCCACACACCAAAGACATGCTGGTAGGTTAATTGGCTCCTGTCTACATTGTCCCTAGTATAATTGGTGTATTTAGGTTTTGTGCTGCCCTAGGCAACGCAAAAAACATCCGCCCCCTATTCCCTCTCGTGGTGAAAGCCTGACAGCAAGACACTCATCTTCATCTCTGGACATCCCCGGGAATGAGAGTCAGGCTCTACATACACCATTAAGCAGCCCGTGGCCTCTCTGGGATCCCACTTGGTTCCCATGGGGGGAGGTGCTGTCCCCCTGAAAAATGCTGCTCTAGGCAAGTGCCTTGTTTTCCTTGCGGTAAATATTCCCCTGCCTGGTATGTGTATGCATGAATGTAAGTTAGGTATCTTAGATTGTACACCCCTTGAGGGTTAGGGACTGATGTGAATGTACAATATATGTGTAAAGAGTTGCGTAAATTGACAGCGCTATATAAGTACCTGAAATAAATAAATAACTAATAAAGCTGTGACAGAGAATACAAGGGAGGATAACTATTTTTTTTTCCTTTACTATCAACAATGTAACTGGGAGGGAGGGTGGGAGCTTCTCATGTGAGAACTGAAGTCCAAAGAGGACTTGCTTGTGCCCACAAGTGCTAATATACCCCCCTACTTAGACCACCCACTTAAGGCCTTAAGGGGGAAACCCCCCAAACTAGAGCTGCCATACTTCTAGCCAGTCAAGAACCCCTCACCTTAGTGTGCGGGGGTTCCTTCATTCACTAAGCTCTGGGGAAACATTTTTTAAATAGTGCAACTTCTCTTGAAAGTGAACCACCTATTTACCATTAGTAAATCAACCCCAATGCCTCCAGTATATTATAAGGTAATATCTGGTTTTGCAAATGCTTTTGTGCACAAGAGTGGATTTATATCTTTTGTGCCTGTTTAGAAAATATTTAAATTAAAGTTTCTGTGCCCATAGTTCAGCGTTAAATATTTGATTTTTATCACTTGCCCAGATGTAACATTTTGCAGTGGTTACAAACTATTTAGCAAACAAATTTTTAACTCTTAGGTGGGCATTTCCTGCCTTACTAGCATTTTCTTGTAGATTTTTGCAAGCGTTAAATGGAAACATTTCTCAAAATACACAGCATATAAGAAAGAATAATATTTCTTATTCAGTGTACAGCAGTAGAAAGGTGAAAGGACATTGTGAAAATGAGTGCTTAAACAAATTTCCTATAAGTGGCCCTTGGTTATAAGCAGTCAGCATTCAAATTCATTTTTAAGCAGGGTTAGGACAAATCTATCTGCTATTGTGATATGCAGATTTCATTTCTGAGATTTTAGGTTTCAATGTTGGGTTAGTTATAGAAATTGCTCAAATTGGGATCTTGATCTGCTTTGTGGCAAGTTTGCTGCAAATTGTGAATTTCAAAAAGGTTTTAAAAAATGTTTTCTTATAAGCTAAATAAATACAAAAAAAGTTCTCTGTATACACAATTGAAAGAGCACACAAGGGGGTGCCCCTAAGTGCAAAATAAAAATTATTTTAATGAACTAAAAGTATTAGACTCACATGTATCAAGGGGTAATTTCCGGGATCGTCGCGGGTGCATAACCGGAAGTTGGTACCTATGTGAAGCGCGGAAGTCAGGTGAGCTTCCCTACCGATCCTGGCTCTATCCACCGTAGCTGGTACATTCTACCTCTGCTAATATGTTATAGGAGTGACAGTGATCTCTTCTGCTGGAGTTATTCAGTTTACATTGCTTGTTACTCATTGATACATGTGAGTCTAATACTTTTAGTTCATTAACCACTTCAAGTACGGATACTTTCATATCCTTCCAGCCCAGGCCAATTTTCATTTAGCATTTTTTTGAGACAGATACAACTTTATTTTGGTGGTATTTATTCACCACTGAGATTTTTTTTTTTTGCTGTATAAATGAAAAAGTCCCAACATTTTTTTAAAAAGTGTTTTTCTTATAAAATCTTCATATAAATAACCTTTCTTCATAAATATTGGCCAAAATGTATTCAGCTATCTTTTGCAATGCTTGTTACTCATTGATACATGTGAGTCTAATACTTTTAGTTCATTAACCACTTCAAGTACGGATACTTTCATATCCTTCCAGCCCAGGCCAATTTTCATTTAGCATTTTTTTGAGACAGATACAACTTTATTTTGGTGGTATTTATTCACCACTGAGATTTTTTTTTTTTTGCTGTATAAATGAAAAAGTCCCAACATTTTTTTAAAAAGTGTTTTTCTTATAAAATCTTCATATAAATAACCTTTCTTCATAAATATTGGCCAAAATGTATTCAGCTATCTTTTTAGTAAAAAAAAAATAACCAAAATTAGTTTATAACCAAAACGTATAATTTTTCAAATTTTATTTTTATATTTTTATTTTATTTTTATATTATTATTTATGTTTTTTTTATTATCATACTGTCACCCTAGCAGTACAGTGTCACCATAGTGATACTGTACTACTTGTGGTGGGTGATGAAGATTTTATATTCTTTTTTACACTGATTGCTTTTACACACTGCATTCCTGCAGCCATTGAGAAATACTGTGCATGCTGTGATTGGTCACAGCTTGTCACATGGTACAAGGATGTTGTGAATAGCCTTGTACCATATGACCTCTGTGATCATTCATGATTTGACAAGTAGTAAGCAATGATGTCAGGAAATGACATCTTGTTTACTACCATTCATGTGATCACCGATTGGCCAATCAGTGATCACATGAATTGGGACCTCACACAGAGGTCCTGTACAGCAATCTGGGCACCGATCGTGGTGCTGCGCGAGCGTCCACTCGCATCGGTAGCACTCCCATCCCGCCTAACAAGAAGTTAAAATAATTTTTATTACTGCACTTAGTGGTGCCCCCTTGTATTCTCTTTTGGTTTAACAGAGATCCCTTTCAGTCTCATGGTGGAGCTGCAGACATGGTGCTTTTTATGGGCATTATTGATTTATAAATGCCTCCTATTTTATTCAAGGTATTTATACTAATATTCCTCCCCACATTGAAGGTTTGCACCATATATCTTGTGAATATACAATTGTGCGCCTTGCACCCTTTATTGGGACATTCAAGTGCTTCTACAAAAACATTCAGCTACAAATTATAGGAGAAAATGCATGGTATAAATATGAACTTTGACAGGTAAACCATTTTCTTGTTGGTGTAACCATTTTCATTATGTTCTAAGCATTTGCAGTACTGGATGGTAGAGCAATTACAATGTCTTTCTTTATACCTTCGCACCACTGTTACAGTGGCACCAGCAGGCAAACAACTGCCCAGGTGTTGCATCCACTGAAGTACATCTTCTATATATATCAATTGCACAGATGTTGCTTGTAGATGTAGTTGGTGTTGATGGTGCTAGTAATTTCAGCAGTAGAAATAGTGATGATGAGTGGCTTATTTGTTGAAATCTGTCATAAGACATAAACTATCAACTAAACAGTTGTGGTATCAGCTACTCAAGGACTGCCTTAACTTTTCTACCTCCCGCCACCATCAATTTTGCTCTCCTCTATCTTCATCCTCTCATCACACCCTAAATGGTGAGAATCTTCATCAAGCTGCACTGCTTTCTCAAGATTATATGACTAAGCTCCTAATGGAATGAAAAGTGTAAGAGGATTAGATTTTTTTGTCCATATACAGGGGAAACTCAAAAAATTTGAATATCGTGCAAAAGTTCATTTATTTTAGTAATGCAACTTAACCACTTGCCGTCCGCCTGCTGTTTATAAACGGCAGGGCGGTGGCAGTCCAGGGGCGGGTTGCCGTTCATAAATGGCACCCGTCCTTTTCTAGCTGTGCGCGCTCCCTGGGAGCGCGCAACACTGCGATCCGGTGCCCGCTGTGTCCTCCGGACTCAGTGAAACACCGATCGTCGGACGGGACCTCTGTATGAGGTCCCAATCATGTGATCACTGATTGGCCAATCAGTGATCACATGCAAAGTAGTAAGCAAAATGTCACTTCTGAAATCAGTGCTTACTACGTGTGAAATCTGTGAATGATCACAGAGGTCACATGGTACAAGGCTATTCACAACAGCCTTGTACCATGTGACAAGCTGTGACCAATCACAGCTCACTCAGTACTTCTCAATGACTGCAAGAATGCAGACAGAGAGAAAGAGAAATTATTGCTTTTACATCCTATATGGGTGTAAAAGCAATCAGTGTAAAAAAAAAAAAAAAAAAATCTCATCACTCCCCACATGGTGACACTGTACTGCTAGGGTGACAGTATGTAAAAAAAAAAAAAATAATAATATAAAAAAATAAAATAAAAATGTAAAAAAAAAGTTTAAAAATTATAATTTTTGATTATAAACTAATTTGGATTATTTTTTTACTAAAAAAATAACGGAATAAATTTTGGCCAAGATTTATGATGAAATATTATTTATTTGCAAAATTTTATAAAAAAAAAACACTTTTTTTCAAAATTTTTGGACTTTTTAATTTACATAGTAAAAAAAATAAAAATCCCAGCGGTGAATAAATACCACCAAAATAAATCTTTATCTGTCTCAAAAAAATGGTAAAAAATTCATATGGGTACAGTATTGCATGACCGTGGTGAAACTAATATATGAGATAGACTCATTACATGCAAAGCAAGATAGTTCAAGCTGTGATTTGTCATAAGTGTGATGATTATGGCTTACAGCTCATGAAAACACCAAATCCACAATCTCAGAAAATTTGAATATTGTGAAAAGGTGCAATATTCTAGGCTCAAAGTGTCCCACTCTAATCAGCTAATTAAGCCATAACACCTGCAAAGGGTTCCTGAGCCTTTAAATGGTCTCTCAGTCTGGTTCAGTAGGAATCACAATCATGGGAAAGACTGCTGACCTGACAGTTGTGCAGAAAACCATCGATGACACCCTCCATAAGGAGGGAAAGCCTCAAAAGGTAATTGCAAAAGAAGTTGGATGTTCCCAAAGTGCTGTATCAAAGCACATTAATAGAAAGTTATGTGGATGGGAAAAGTGTGGAAGAAAAAGGTGCACAAGCAGCAGGGATGACCGCAGCCTGGAGAAGATTGTCAGGAAAAGGCCATTCAAAAGTGTTGGGGACTTTCACAAGGAGTAGACTGAGGCTGGAGTCAGTGCATCAAGAGCCACCACACAGACGGATCCTGGACATGGGCTTCAAATGTCGTATTCCTCTTGTCAAGCCGCTCCTGAACAACAAACAACGTCAGAAGCATCTTACCTGGGCTAAAGAAAAACAGACCTGGTCTGTTGCTCAGTGGTCCAAAGTCCTCTTTTCTGATGAGAGCAACTTTTGCATCTCATTTGGAAACCAAGGACCCAGAGTATGGAGGCAGAATGGAGAGGTACACACTGCAAGATGCTTGAAGTCCAGTGTGAAGTTTCCACATTCTGTGTTGATTTGGGGAGCCATGTCATCTGCTGGTGTTGGTCCACTGTGCTTCATTACGTCCAGGGTCAACGCAGCCGTCTACCAGGAGATTTTGGAGCACTTCATGCTTCCTTCGCAGACGCGCTTTATGGGGATGCTGACTTCATTTTCCAACAGGACTTGGCACCTGCCCACACTGCCAAAAGCACCAAAACCTGGTTCAATGACCGTGGGATTACTGTGCTTGATTGGCCAGCAAACTCGCCTGACCTGAACCCCATAGAGAATCTATGGGGCATTGCCAAGAGAAAGATGAGAGACATGAGACCGCACAAAGCAGAAGAGCTGAAGGCCGCTATTGAACCATCCTTGTCTTCCATAACGCCTCAGCAGTGCCACAGGCTGATAGCTTCCATGCCACGCTGCATTGAGGCAGTAATTGCTGCAAAAGGGGCCCAAACCAAGTACTGAGTACATATGCATGCTTATACTTTTCAGAGGTCCAATATTGTTCTATGTACAATCCTTGTTTTATTGATTGCATGTAATATTCTAATTTTCTGAGATTGAGGATTTGGGTTTTTCATGAGCTGTAAGCCATAATCATCACACTTATGACATGTCACGGCTTGAACTATCTTGCTTTGCATGTAATGAGTCTATCTCATAAATTAGTTTTACCTTTTAAGTTGCATTACTGAAATAAATGAACTTTTGCACAATATTCTAATTTTTCGAGTTTCACCTGTATATTATATAATACTAATAAATTCATTCTGGACTCTTGGAAGATGAATGGCTCCATTTTTACTTTTTGCACTATACTATTTTCTCAGTTTAATTTTACATCTAAAGTTCTTGCAGAGGCTTAGGCTGTGCATTTTACGTTACCCTTACTCAATGGAATCATTGGTGTTGATTTATTAAATTCAAATAGGCAGTTTATTTTTGCAAGGAAACAGGGCAGGGCAGTGTATTAGCCTTTAGTAAATTAACCCCACTGACTCATTTTTTCTTCACTATGATCTCTCAATCACAAATTTAATTATGAATGAGCTATGAAGTCAACTTTCTGATCTTGTCTACTTTCTGGGTCTGGCAGTGATGTAAGCAAGTACTGTGGTCATCCCCAAGTCTTTCTGCTTCTGACACTGAAAAGCTTACCGTTGTCACTTCCAATTGTTCTCCTTCATAAGATTTTGACATCCAATTAGGGTAGCAGGTTATCTAAAATGCCATGGCTTGGTAATACTATGATCGCTTCCACTTCTGTTTCTGGATGACATGCCCTCTATTTTATAAAATTAACTTCAGACAAATTAGTGAAATGTGTGAAAAATTATTACATTATGCACAGTATTGTGGAGCAACTTTGCAAGCTCCAAATGTATGTAAACAGCTTTTTATAATTATTTTCTGTCTGGCAGTACTAGGGTTGTTGGTTCAAATCCAAACCACAACACCACCTGCCTGGAGTTTGTATGTTCTCCCTGTGCCTGCGTGGGTTTCCTCCGGGTACTTCAGTTTCCTTCCGGTACTCCAGTTTCCTCCCAAACTCCAAAGACATGCTGGTAGGTAAATTGTCTCCTGTCTAAATTGGCCCTATTATGTGTATGTATGAATGTGAGTTAGGGACTTTGGATTGTACACCCCTTGAGGGTTAGGGACTGATGTGAATGTCCAATATGTACTGTATGTAAAGAGTTGCATAAATTGGCGGCGCTATATAAGTACCTGTAATAAATAAATAGTAAATAAATTTGCATCAGAAAAATATATCTGGCTGTCTGAAACACTTTCAAAATGCAACCGTCAATTTACAAAAATCATTTAGATGTGTTGTGCAATTCTGAACACAGTATTCCCAGTAACTCTAAATTGGCACCTTTTGAAGTGAACACAGACAGAGCAAAATACTCTGCTCAATTTTACGCTGTTAAAACACTAAAGGCCAGCATGAATCAGCTGTCTGGTTGTGCAGTTTAACTCAATGCAATATAGCAACTGTATAAAATTATGCTTTTAGAGTTGTGTGAAGGCACCACAATTTATTTGATTCACCATGACCCTTTGAAAACACAAATAAGTCAGCCTATATAGCCATTGTCTGGTGATGTCATATAATTCAACACAGCACTATTAAATGTATATTGTTTTTAATGCCTTACTTTTGAACCCTAAGAGCCTGGAGACCATAATTCTCTTTGCTTTCAATACCAAAAACTACTGAAATGTAATCTGTGCTACTAAACATTGCTGCAATCAACCCCCTGGGGAGCATAATTCTTTTTGCGTTCAGTATCAAGAACAATGTCAGCTGTACCACTAAACATTTCTGCCATCAACCCTAACCCTAATTTTTATAATTCATAAACTAGAGATTACTTAATAAATGGAAAGGGTATGCTGTTTAATCTTATACATTTACAAACTAATTGAAAATAACTGACTGGGAAGAACAATGGAAGGCCCTGATCAAATGTAATTCACTGAGATGCTGCTCATGCAATTGAGTAAAGCAACTTGCCATATATGCCATAAATAAAAGAACTCACAGGCTAACACCCTGTGTATGAACTAGGGATGCACCAATGCCCTTTTATGATTGGCAAGTAGGAGTACCGATACTTTTGGTCAAGTATTGCAGATGCAGAGTACCAATTCTTTGGAGTGCGATTTGCACCCATAAAAATGTATGTATGGACCCAAATTGCATGGCAAAGAATATTGGGTTCAGGTATCGGGAGCATTTTCACGAGTACTCATGAAAATACTCGGTATTGGCACCAATACCAGTATCGGTGCATCCCTAGTATAAACAAATAATTATTAAATATAATAGGTATTGGGCTCACCTGAAATTACTCTATTAAAGTTGAATGCTTGAGCTGTTAGCACAGGAAAATACCTCTTCAACTTTGCAATCTTACAACAACAAAAATTCAACATCAACATTTACTCCTCCATTAACATAAAAACATTGGGAGCTAACCAAAGCAATATCACATTATTTGACTCTCTTCAACAATTTAAAATACAGCAAAGTCAGCCTGCAACCATGCATTTCCTAATTCAATGGAGCCTCCCACCTGCTTGTGATAGCCGGGGAGGCCAGCTGTCAATGGCAACCTAATTGAGATCTAGCAGCTGCACAAAGTGTCATAGGAAAGAACATTTATTAACCAATCTTTAGCATGAGGGAATGCAGGCACACAGGGAGTGCTAATATACAGATCATGGGTGGGACAGGGTTAAATATACAAAGCTAGCCAGCATACTATATAAACATGTAAAAGGAACATGATAAGGTATAGTAAATATATAAAATATGTAGGTGTAGTTGCCAACACCAATCCGGAGTCCACTAACAGCCTGAGGTTAATATCAGCTATTCTTTACCACTGAAGGCTTTTGATTGGAATTCTTATGGTTTCTGGATTGATTAAAGGAGGAATAGGGGACTGATTCATGTACGCTGGTGTCATTTATAGAACAATCAGCTAACTAAAACAAAATCTCAGTTACATACTAGGA